CCTTCACTATTAAAAGTTGTTTTGCCCTAAATGCCAAAAATGCATTTTCTTTATCTTACTCTTTTCTTTATCTTTCAGTTGTATAAAAAGACCATAACCAAGAGTAGGTGGCGGTAAGAAAGAAAGCAAAATCAAGTTATGATTCCGAGGAGACTCCATGTCACACAGTATAATGATAAATGTTATTATTCATTCAAATTATTTCACAGTTTCTGATTTGCTCTACCAATTCGATGGAAAATTTGCCTAGAGGTATAAATTTTAAGCCGTTGGCGCCTAGTTAAAAAAAGAAGGGTTCACGGCTATCCGAAGACGAAAAAACTGAACTTCTGACAAATACTGAAAGGAAGAAATTTAGAAATACACAAAACATCTCGCTCGATGTTATCTACTTTTTGAGGTATCTGTAGGAAAAATTAACCTCAGTGAAACCTTGCCAGGAAGTAGGCAAAAGTTTGAAAGAAAGTATACGAGGAGTAAACTTGCTAAAAACTTCAAAATATTTTGCTTGAATATTTTGAATTTTTGAAGAATTAAGCTTATCCCTGTGGTTGTCAGTGTCTTCCTATATGACTCACTACCTTACTGTTTTAGTATTTATCGAAAATAGAACGAAGCGTACTCAAATAATGGCAGAAAATAAATGATGGACTGTAGATTTCATGGTCTCTTTCTGTGTAGACGATGAAATGCTTTCTTTCTTTTCAGTGAAATAATTTCTCAATTTTTTTTTTTTGGGCCGTAACAGACGCAAATTATTCTTGCCAACCGTCAATGATAAAAACTAGACAACAGTTCGAGGGATATACCAGGGTTCGGTTGTTTGTCGCATACAGTAAGAATCAATAGACAATATCTGGCGAGTAATTTTAAACGTAACAACAGAATTAAGGCTTACTGTCGAAAAGTGAGTTCTTTGACTCTTTGTAGTCAAAACGTGTAATTTCCTTGGTTTTTTTTCCCCCTTCTTTTGCTGATTAACAAAGACAATTAAATCCCCACCTCACGCCCTGCCTCCCTTCCCTCCCCCTGGGTTTCGTCATTCATATCTGTGTTACATTGATCAAGGATTACAAAAGATATCTAGTGGCAACAAGACCTCAGCAAGCTTGTTAGAGCTTTTCTACTAGGATATCTCTCATTTCCTATGTTTTTTCATCGACAGGTCTTGCGTGAGAACGTACATGTAATGTAAGAGGTTATATGGGTTGGACTCGCTTTAGTTCTAGCGTCTTTAATTTGTAGAAACAAGTTTCCTGGCTGTTTTCCTGACCTGGTGCATTCTCACTGCATATATTACGTGATTTATTATGTGATTGAACAAATATAGTGCAAAAAACGAGTAATCGATGCGATAAATATTTTAGGGCAGACTTTACTTGACATATGGGGTGGGATTATATGCCAAATAGTGCGAGGAACTATCGTTAGAAAAGAAGCCACAGTAACTATAAATAAAGTCACCGTTAGTTTCCTCTCTGTTGAAAGAATTGGCCCAGCATTAGCAGAGGGAGGATTGTTTTTTTACAGTTGAGATAATTATGACATATGAAACTGTGACAACGACAAGGGTGAGAAAAGTGTGAGATGCATTGACATACGGATTTGCAAGTGATAAGCTCAAATAAAGAAGAGCAATAACAGATGACTAAGTCAAGGAGAACAACCAACTACACAAAATAATGATAAGGTAGTCCCGCTTTCCAACAAGACAATGTCTAAAAAGGAAAAGTGTTGCGTGTAACCTCTCGAATGAAATCAATCAACTATTAGCTAATGAAGCTACTGGAAATAGCTCTGTCAATGTCAAATACATGAATGATTCCCAGCTGAAAGCTGTTGAAAGTTCCAGGTCCCTCTCCAGGTTATCTGGTTCAAATATTAGTAAAAGTCCGGTCACTGTTCCCACCAATTGTTCCCACCAGTAAAAGATGACAACAAACTCGATGACCAATGCTGCAAACCAGGCTCTTTCTTCTTTTTCAGAAATAATTCTACCTGTCTCACTCCAAACGTTCCAGCATTATTTCATCCTCGCCAAGTGTTACGGTGTCCGTTGGTATCCCTCATTTCTGAAGGAAATTTACAATAACGGAATACCAAAAAAAAAACAAAAGCATGTTAATGTGAGGAGTAGTAACGCAAAGAAAAAATAAAACAAGAGAACAATAAAAGGATTCCGTCTCAGTTTTCCAATAAACCGCGTTGACGAGTGTGCTACCGTGCTACCGAGCACTCCAAAAAATGACACCACAGTAAGTGATTGTAATTTTGCATTGATGTATTGCAAAATGGGTATGATGCATTTACTCTTTTTTATGGTAAGTGATACATCAGGTAATATAACAATGATAAAAAAACAAAATAAATTGTAACTTGAGGGGAAAAATAATGTTCTTTTTACTTCATTAAAATTATTAAATTTAGGGAGCCTATTCCTTATTAGCCCCGTGACTTACCTTGGGCTTACTCGCCATTGTAAAAGAAGGTAGAAAGCTAAAATTTGTCTATTGATCACTGCTTTCGACTATTGATTTTGAATTCAGGCTTTCCTGTTTGGCCGGTGGCACGGATATTAGCAACCTGTGAGGGGGCTAGAGTTTGGGTTCACTTTTACTGGAAAATTAAAGCAAGTGAGGAATGCCTTGGGGTACAAAGATTCTTTAACAGGGTCGTCACATGGTTGAGGGACGTAAGTTTTCGCAGCTTTTTTTTCGCATTAATGTCATAGATCTTTGGAAAATCCTCGAAATCCGCCAAATATCATGTCCCACGAAAATTTTGCTCCACATAATATATATCTTGGTCTATCTTAGAAAAAAAGAAAACAAGTAAAGAATTCATCGTAAGAGACAATTAACCTAGAGACATAAGTTTTTTTCCCTTGCACTAACTTACTATGTTCCTTTCTTTAAACACATTGCTTTAATTTGTTGTCAGAGTTCAACTTTTTGCATTTATATTTTTTCGCAATAAATTAACCCAACTTTAGAGAATTAAACTAAACAGGTGAATTTTATGGGACCGTCGTTTGTTTTTAATTTGTTGAAAACAAATAATTATTTTATCCTTTATTGAACTTCTGTCCGTTGAGTTCCAAACTCTCTACACTCTGTATTATTTCTAATAACTCTCATTATAACCTTCTCAATATATTACTGTTTCTTGAGCAATTTCGCTGTCATTACGCGTCAACGCTAAAAAGAAAAAGAGGTTCTTTTGTTAATTTGCAAACGTCACAACAGTTTAATTGCTGTCTTCACCTTCTGTTCGTTATCATTTTTTGATGAAGGGTGCTCCCAAGTTAAGATGTTATCAGAGTGGCTGTTAATAGAGGAAATCTGTGCCGGTTTCTTGCAGATCTGTCGTAAACGAATAAATTATGAGCCGTCCATCTTATGCTGAATCTGCTTTTCGTCGTTTTAAAACCCTATGTATCGGAGAACGACCATTATGACAATTTGAAAATTATTTGACCATGCATGCATGCCAATAACGGACCCCACCAAAACGTTTCTGTAATCAACAGTTGAACGGTTGTGGCAGCGCAAATTATGTGACGGAGCGACTGCGCCGATCTCAAAAGTGGAGCGTCACATCGGTTTTGTACCATACTTTGGTGCAGTGGGAACACCTGTTCGGCCCCGCCGTTGCGGACGTAAATAAGTAAGAGCGAGGACTGGAACTCACTGAGACGGAAGTAAATATTCAGGAGTGATGACTGGATGTTAGGGCACCAAACCTAGCAAGTCTATTTTAAGAATATCAATTAATAACATAAGGGTGCATAGGTTCCCATAATATATGATTTTTTAATTTTAAGTTCAGCTTTTATTTTATCTTTATGTACTAAATTGAGTACACATCCTATAATTCTCCCCACGTATTGGCCATGTTGGCGCTACAGCCCAATCAAGCGGAAGTCAAGAATGTGGAATTGAACGACCTCGAAGCAGGGTACATGATTCCTATCAAACTAAAACCCGGTGAGACTTTGGCGTGCGACATTACTTTCTTTTAACACAATTTTGCGCCTTTAAAATAACTTGTCATTCACCATCGCACCGTTTTCATTCAAATTCCCTCTTAAATGACGAGATCATCGGCTAAAAAGGGTGAACCATCGCACTGAAATAAAGATTATTTTTGACATTTGAAATAATTACGGTCAATACGGACACCCACGGGACGTGTTTTAGTGTCCAAATTAAGCGGATGTCTGTATTCTTAAAATTAGGGTAATTTCATAGAAAATATATATTGTTGAGTTTTTTTTTGCTCGGGACAAACTAAACTGTGCTTTGTAGACGGGTGTCCGTAGAGCGGGGTTCCACTGTACATCAAAGAGACAGTGATGATTGGAATGGCAAGGAATCATATATTTAGATACACATGAGTACGGAAATGCGAACGTTGCAGCCAATATAATTCCTCCTGAAGTTGCATGTTACTCTAACAATAATTACCACCGCAGTTTGCGTGCTATTTATTAATTATTACTTTATTTCATTTTTTGTTATTTCACTAGATTACAACAGATATCTAAGCAAGAAGACCTCCACAATCTTGTTAGAGCTTTTCTAAGGAACTCGGCATTTCTTATGTTCTTTCTTCAACCGGTATTGCTTGAGTACGTACATGCAATGTAAGAAGTTCTAAGGGTTGGACACGCGTTAATTGTAGTGTCTTAGTTTGTAAAAACAAGTTTCCTAGCTTCTTCCCTAAACTCTAAAGAGGGTGTCCGTAGACGGCGGGGTTCCTCCTGCAGTTGTATATTATTTTCCAACAAAGTTTATCACCGCAGTTTGCATGCTAATTGTTAATTATTACTTTATTTTATTTCATTGTTTATTATTTCGACACTCATATCTTTCTTACATTGATTAAAGATTACAGAAGATACCTGGGCAAGAATACCTCTGCAATCTTGTTAGAGCTTTTCTATGGAAATCTCCCATTTCTTATGTTTTTTCTTCAACAGGTATTGCTTGAGTACGTACATGCAATGTAAGAGGTTCCATTGGTTGGACTCGCGCTAGTTCTAGTGTCTTAAAACACAACCATTTTCTGGCTGCTTTCCTAAACTCTTGCATTCTTATCGCATATATAAGGGGATTGACAATAGAATTGAAAAAATAAATTACTTTAAACGAGGAATAGATGCGATAAAAGACTGCGGGACATAATTTACTATATATGTGAGGGGCGATAACATTCCAAATAACCCAAGGAAGAATGGTCAGAACAGAGAACGCAGTAACTGTAAATAAGGTCATCGTTAGTTTCCTTTCTTTTGAAAGCGCTGGTCCAGCATTAGGGGAGGGAGGATTCTTTTTGACAGTTGAGATAATTATGACATATGAAACTTTGAGAATGAGAAGGGAGAGGAAAATGTAAGATGTACGTACATACAGAAAAGTAGCCGGCGATGCGCGCAAATCAAGAAGAGAAAACGCAGATGACAAAGTCAAGGAGAACAACCAACTACAAAAAATAGTGGTGAGGTAAACCCGCCTTCCAAAAAGACAATGCCTAAAGGGGAAAAGGGTTGCGTGTAACCTCTCTAACGAAATCAATGAAATATTAGCTAACGAAGCAACTGGAAATAAGTACACCGAAGTAAAATACACGAATGATTGGCAGCTGAAAGCCTGTTTAAGTTCCAGGTCCCTCTCCGGTTTATCTGGTACGAAAAATAATAAAGGTACAAGCACTGTTCCCACCAGTAAATCAGCCACAGTCAGATTTATAATCAGGTACGTACTGGGCTTGCGTAAGTGACGATTTCTTGTGTAGATGGCGAGTGTGAAAGCGTTCAGCAAAAAGATGACACTAGACTCGATGATAAATGCTGCAAACCAGGCTCTTTCTTCCTTTTCAGAAATAATTCTACCAGTCTCACTCCGAACATTCCAGCATTCTTTCATCCTCACTAAGTGTTATGGTTACCAGTAGTATCCCCCTTTTCTAAAGGAAATCTGCAAACAAAACAGCATGTTAATGCGAGAAGCAGTCACGCAGAGAGAAAACAAGAAGAAAGAATAAAATGAAAAGATTCGAAAACAATAAAAGGATGACGTTTCAATTGGCCCATAAACGGTGTTAACAGATGTCCTACCGAGTACTCCTAGCAAACCAAGAAAACTGCTATATTTTCATCTAAAGCAAAGTATTCATAAATAAAAAGTTAATCTTGCATTGATATATCGCTAAATGGGAAGGAGGCATATGCATTTACCCTCCCATATCTATGACAAGTAATACATCAGGTCAAATAGAATTACGATGTTCCGAAATTTGAGCTAAATAATGACAAAACTAAGCTTTTGTTTTATATTTTTCTTCGTAAATATAGACGATCGATAGCTAAAATCTGTCTATCGGTCTGTCTATTTGTGCGAGTTTAGGGTCACTTATACTGTAAAAGCAATTGAGGGGTGCCTTGTGGCTTGAAATTTAGGCGGGAGTTTATTGCTCACACTACCTGTCTGCGATTTGCGGGTACAAATTTTTGCAAAATCGTGGATTCCACAGTTGTGGATAAGACACGAGCCTTGGCCATATTTTAGGTACGACTGATCTGGCAATTCGTAGAGGTTGTTATTTTAATTCATATTTTCCGTTTGCCATAAAATCGTCGAAATGGAGTTCAAAGCTACGGCGGCGCTATCCCCCCTGCCATTTGTTCATATGTTTAACCAAAAACGTGGTGAAACTCCTCGTGCCAGAAACGTTTCGAGGCTTGCACGCTTTTAAGGCCTTTTAACGTCGTGCTACTGCTGTGCTAAGCTGGCTCGACTGTAGCTGGACTGCAGCACGACAATAGCACTACTTGGTGTCAGACGTCGAATTTAATTCAGTCGAATAGAACGGCTGTTGCCGAAAACAAAATAGAAAAATAAAGAAACGGTTTGACAAGCCTTTAAATGTGTTCTAATGTATTTATGATTTATGAATTGAGTTCGGCACGGCGATAGCACGACGTTTGTACACGGCAGTAGCACGACTTGGTTTCAAACGTCGAGCTACTGACGTGCTAAACTCGAATTTAATTCGATCAATTGAGTTCGGCACGGTAGTAGCACGACGTTTGAAACGGGCCAAAGTTACTTAATACGAACCTTTAGATAAGACTACGCTCATGATACTACAAGTACGGGCATGACTTTTCAAACGCAGCCCGTGTGCTTTTGATAATCACTTTTTAGGTAGTACACCATCTGTACCATCCTGCCTATCCTTTTTGAGTTAGTTGTGAGAATATAACAGGACTGAAACTTAAAATTCGTAGTCGTAGTTAACGAGAAAATATCTAGGCGTAACGCTTCATTTTGATTTTTTTTGGCTTTCATGTCATGAATCCGTTTAGAAAATCCTCGAAATCCGCCAAAAACCATATCCCTTTAAAATTTTGCTTCACATCATGTGTATCTCTGACTATCGTAGAACAAAAAGAAAACACGTAAAGAACTCATAACTTCTTTTGGGCCCTTGGACTTAAAACTTACCGATTATATCCGTGTCCTATATTTTTTTAATACACTGCTTCGTTTGTTAGAGTTCAACTTTTTGCATTTATTTCGCAATAAATTAGCCCAAATTTAGAGAATTAAAATGAACAGGTGAATTATATGCAAAATCATTTGGTTTAAATTCCTCGAAAACAAAGTTTAATATATCATTTCATCCTTTACTGAGCTGTTGTCTCTTCAGTTTAAGTCCAGCTCTCTGAACTCTGTATTTTTACTAATAATCTTCCTTATAAGTTTATCAATATATTATTATTTGTTAAGCAATCTCGCTCTCCTTGCGCGTTTCCTCTAAAAGCAAAAAGAGGTTCCTTCGTGAATTTGGCAAACAGTTTTATTGGTGTCTTGACATTCGTCCATTATCATTTTTGATGAAGCGTGCTCCCAAGTTAAGATGTTAGTGAAAAGAAAATATATTCCGGTTTCTCAGCTATGTTGCAGATAGGACGGTATAGAACCATGGTGAAAGTAACGCGGCCATAGAACCTATCATAACTTTATACAAATTAAGACTGAGTAGAAACTAAAAGAAAAAAAGCACAAAAATAAAAAGCAAATTTGTGGTAAATGAATAAATTATGCACCGCCCATCTTATATTAAGCCTGCTTTTCCTCATTTTAAAACCCTATGTATGTAGACTGGTCCGGCGAGCATTATGACAAAATTATTTGTCTAATACCGATACCCTGCAGCAAATCGTCTCTGAAATCAACAGTTGGGCGATTGTGGCGGCGCGATTTCTTTGCTGGAGCGAAGCTGAGCCACGCCGATCTCGAAAGTGGAGCGTCACATATCGGATAGGTTTTTTGCCATACTTTGGTGCCGTGTGAAAGTTGAATAAAACTTTCTGGTGCAGAAGGTTTCTGAGTATAGAGGGGTGGGGAGGGCTATGCTACATTCTATCCACTGAAAGTCTATTTTTATGGAGGGGGGATTGGGTCAGTGTAAAATATAGGTTCGATTAGGGGCCACCCGTGAAATGTTTTTCCGACTGAAAAATCCTCATAGCCCTTACCAAAATGAACGTCCTCAAACAGATAGGAGAACCTATTCCTTAGAACGATTTATGATAATACTACCGTAGGTAAGCTGTGGTTGTCATAGATACCTTTGACATACACTGTCTAAACAGCCTTCAACTCCATACTGCATATAACAGGTGCTTTTCAAGTACCCTCACAGAAAATCCTCTTCTTGATTCCGCTTGCTAAAAAACTGATAAAACGTCTTTAAACCGTTTAATTCAGCTTAGAAATATTCATCTCTAACCCTAACTAATTATTATTATCAAATAGCGTCGACATATGGAGAAAAAATTCTGCGTTAATCAGTTATAGTAGCTGGGCTCGAACGGAAATATTCTTGTAACTTGTTATCTTGAAAGAATAACACGCAATATAATCGACCATGTATTTAATGTCTCTTTTAGGGAAGGATAAATGAGTTAACATGACCGCATCGCAGTTGTGAATTAGGGGCAGGCGCCGGTCCTTCTTCGGAATATCCCTTAGTTATAGAAGAACACGAATGATCATCCCAGAATTGCACAGAAGTAGCCTGCGTAACAGTTGCTTAGAAATAAAAGGCCCGCGCCCCGTTCTTTCTTGCGCCCTATTACTTCCAGGCTAGCACAGAAGTCACTGTAGACACTCATCTTTTGATTAAACTAGTTGTTTCCTCTAGAGATAGTTACTCACTTTAGCCTTCTTCTTTTCTTATATGAGTAATTCTTCGAGGAAACTCACGTGTAGGCAGTCATCTTCGTCATAAATTTGATCCCTGCTTGGAAAACAGGTTAGATGAGCAGGTGAAATTTATGCAACTTTTAGTAAACATGAACTTAATAATTACTCTTCCTTTTTAGGCTGGTAAAATGATAATAATAAAGAAGTGAAGACGAAAATGTAAAAGAGGACTCTCGGAACCATTAATTTAGCAATTATTGGATAAGGCTGAGTATGATGTGAAGAGTTTTGGAGATCGAGAAGCTAACTTAAAAGGTATTTTCCGAAGAGGCGGATAACACCTTCCTAGATCTGCATAATTCTTCAGATTATAATTCAGAATTGTTTTAATATTGATTTAAAATAATTCCTAGTTTAAAAACAACCTAAACATTCTTACCTCGAAGTTAAGTTCCATTCCTCATTTGCCTGTTTCAGAGCAAGTTTAGGATATTTAACAATTACTCAAGGTAGTAAGTCAACGAGGCGAGTAGCGCCGAGTTGGCTATAATCATCTCATATCCAACTAGTGCGAGTGGAATAATTGTTTCATTAAAAACGCCCACAGAATATAAATATTGTTTTTAATTTTGAGCAGACGCGTACAGTTACAAAACTTGGAGAGCATATTAAAATGGCAAAATTACCATGATGGCTGAGCCAATCAGAGCTCTAGAATTGCATTATCCAATGATTCAGTTTTTAATAAAAAGGGATGTCTAGTTCTGCAGATATCCTTCAAGTAGCAGTTGTCCTTCGAGTTGTATGCGTGCTGTTCTTGCTATGCTTTCAGGAAGTAGTTCGGCTACTTCTTCTTCCCAAAGCTGTTCCACTACTTTCTACACGGTTTTACTGCTTCACCAAAACAACGAAACCTCGTCCCCAGGACTTCTCGGTTCCTACACTTTTTCTGGTGATTACCCTGTTTTATTAACATTTTATTCCGGATATCTAAAACATCTTCCAAATTTGTTCAACACTAGCTGGTTATTTAGAATAAACCGTGGGATCTGAGCCAATCAAAAACGGAGATATATTTTGAAGGAATCGAATGACAATGATGCTTCGGTACTTAGGAAGTCTCTTTTAAGAACATCAAGAAAGGCGCATAGTTTGCTATTTTGTTATTTTTTGTATAATTATCTCCAGGTAAATTTGACGCTACAGCCCAAGCTATAAGCGGAATTTAATAACTATGTGTCGATATATGTGGAAGCGAAAAACCATCAGGCTATATACATGATAAACACACACAATTTACGTCTTTATGAAAACTTAAGTTAGTTATTCACTATATATCATGTTCAGTCAACAACCAGCGATTAAACTTGGTCAAAATTACCTACCAATTCCTAGCGGCCCGTGTTCAAGCAACTCGAGATTTTTTCTATATTGACTGTATGACTTTATATTTCAACTGTAAGTACTTTCCTTAATATACGTGCGAGTTACTAGAGTGCCTCCTCGGGATTTCCTTCTGGGCGAAATCCCTGCGGAGGCAATAAAGTTTAATGTTATATTTTGTTGTCCAACAATGTTTATCAACTCAGTTTGCGTGCTATTTTTTAATGACTACCTTAAATTTCATTTCATTGTTTATTATTTCGCCACTCATATCTTTCTTACATTGATTGAAGATAACAAAAGACATCTAGGCAAGAAGACCTCTGCAATCTTGTTAGAGCTTTTCTAAGAAACTCTACATTTCTTATGTTCTTTCTTCAACAGGTATTGCTTGAGTACGTACATACAATGTAAGAGGTTCCATGGGTTGGACTCGCGCTAGTTCTAGTGTTTTAAAACAAAACCATTTTCTGGTTGCTTTCCTAAACTCTTGCATTCTTACTGCATATATTAGGGGATTGACCATATAACTGAAAAAGTGTAGTACGAAAAACGAGTTTGTGATGCGGTAAAGTACTGCAGGGCCTACGTGTACTTTACTCCATATGTGGTAGTGGATAACAGTCCAAATAATCCAAGGAAGAATGGTCAGAAAAAAAGCCACAGTAACTATAAATAAAGTCACCGTTAGTTTCCTTTCTGTTGAAAGAACTTGTCCAGCATTAGGCGGAAGAGAATTTTTTTTTTTGACAGTTGAGATGATTATAGCATATGAAACTGTGAGAATGAGAAGGGAGAAAAAAGAGTACGACAAAATGGCATACAGATGTGCAGGCGATAGGCGCAAATCAAGAAGGACAATAACAGATAACAAAACCAAGGAAAACGACCAACTACACAAAATAATGATTAGGTAAACCCTTTTTCCAACAAGAAAATGCCTAAAGGGGAAAAGCCGGTTGCGTTTAACCTCTCTAGAGAAATCAATGAAATATTAACTAATGAAGCGACTAAAAAAAGCCCCTGTAATGTGAGATAAACGAATGATTGCCAACTAAAATCTTGTTCAAGACCCAGATCCCTCGCCAGGTTGTCTGGTTCGAATATTATCGAAGATCCGGTCACTATTCCCACCAGTAAATCAACCACAGTCAGATTTATTATCAGGTACGTACTGCGCTTGCGTAAGTGACGGTTTCCTATGTAGATGGCGAGAGTGAAAGCATTTAGTAAAAAGATGACAATAAACTCGATGACAAAAGCTGCAAACCAGGCTCTTTCTTCTTTTTCAGAAAAAATTACTCCAGTTTCTTTCCAAACGATCAAGCATTCTTTCATTTTCACTCAGTGTTACAGTGACGGTTGTTATCCTTCTTTTTATAGGAAGTTTTCCTTGATAGAATACAAACAAACAGCATGTTAATGTGAGGCGCAGTCTTTCTGAATAAACATATGAGAAAGAGAGAACAATAAAATTATTTGGAACCAATGAAAGGATTCTGTCTCAGTTTTCCAATAAACGGCCTTGACGAGTGTTCTACCGAGCACGCCAAATACTGTCCACACGAATAAAGAGGTTAATCTTACATTGATGTATCGCAAAATGGGAATTAGGTATTAAAACAAACGTCACCTGTAACCTGAGCCAAAAAATAATGTTCCCTTTACTTCGTTAGAATAATAAATTGAGGGAGCCTACTCTTTATAAGCTCACGTGGCCTACCTTGGGTTAACTCGACATTAGCTTTTTCAATATGTAACAACTTATTTCTTGCTTTCAGTTTGTAAATATTATGGCAAACAATAAATTAAGCGTTTCGGTTTCGCTTTTCTTCGTAATAGACGATAGAAAGCTAAAATTTGTCTATTGATCACTACTTTCGATTACTGATTTTGACTTCCGGCTTTCCTGTTTGACCGGTGCCACGGATATAAGCTACCTTTGAGAAGGCTTACCGAGCTTGGAGGTCGAATTATTTGAGCAGTTAGAGCTAGAATGTGGAAAATAGAAACAGACGATACCATTTGTTATTGGGGCGCGCTTGGGTATACTGAGAAGTAGCCTCCGAGCAAGCTCTCCGGGGCGCTCTGGCGAAGGGGTGGCAAAAGGAAGGAGAGCTTGAAATTAAGTCTCTGGAATTTGAATATCTGCATCGAAAATTAAACGTCGATGCGAAATGCAGATTGGCAGAGATGAAATCAGTAATGACGTCATTACCCTTGGCACCTGTTTTTCAATGTTTGTTTACATTCGCGCTTGTTTCAGTTTCGTGGTAATTGACGGAAATTTGACAGTTCAGTTGATGGGGAACCACAGGGGAATTGGACGTAAAATTCAAAATTACTTCCAGAGACGTAGTTGCAAGCTCTTCCTCCTTTCCTTCTCGCAGGCTAAATAGGAAGGGACTGGAAAACCACGTTGATAGAATTCCAAGAATAACTAGCATCAGTAACTTGGGCAAATGATTTCTTACTGTTAATGATAAAAAGACAAAGTTTCAAGTAAAATACGTTTCGTTTTCCGATCTCATAAAATGAGTATTGTTCTATTTCTAGGAAACCTTTCAACAGGATCAATCGACAATGTATGGCGAGTGATTATACAAGTAACAATAGAATCAGTAGAAAAACGACGTATCAACACTTACGGTCGAAAAGTGAACTCGTTTACAGTCTGCTGTGGTAAAAATGTTTAATTTCCTTGTCTCCTTTTCTCTGTTTTTGACTGATTATCGCCAGAATTTAGAATTGTGCGTAACTTCTTAAAGGAACTTAGTACAAGATAAACAGGCGAAATTTTCTGTCTTACAACACCAATGTCCATCACAGCCTAATAAATGCAACACCTGCTTATTTGAGAGAGGTTATTACACATGCAGTAATATCCCTTTGGGAGCCAAACAACAGATGAAGTCAATTTTAAAAAAGCTTTCAAAGCGGCGGTTTAACCATAATAAGTAAGCAATGGCAAGTTGACTAAGACGCAAAACCTTCAGATTTCTTAATTAGAAACCAACTTTGCCCAGAGTTGAGTTGCTATTCGTTTCTTTCTTAGAACTATTTCATGCTTGCTTTTATCTTATTGCTGTTTATTATTATAACTAACTTTATGCCACGCCCTGCGCTTCTGAAAATGTCAACATGCGAGTTTAACAAAATAAATATTTCGACTTTTCTTTACCAAAATAAACCTATTTCCAGTATTATAACATTCAACATGATGGGGAGTCTATGGACGCTTGAAACAAAAAATTGAATAATATATATGTTTATTCCTTTATTCCTTTATTTATTTATTTATTGGCATATTTATCTTTAGAGGGCCACAAGTTTATCAGTAATTTTAATTAGTGTCACGTGTAACCCTCGTTAAATATAGTGGCTTATCTCATCTTACTATTCATTCAAAATATTTCCCCGATTCTTATTGGCTAAAAGCACACGTTTAATTCCCCATAACCAGTTACTGATGACCAAATTTGGAAGAAATTTTACTTTAACGAGGAAATGACGTCAAAAATGCAGCGTTTTCGCAGTTTAAGGCACCGTTAACCGAGAAGACCTGGGGACGAGGTTGAGTTGTGAACTTGAAAAAATGGCGGACATTTCACTCGTTTCAAGAGTAAGAACTAGGCGAAAAAATAGCTAAAAACATGTCAAGAACAGCAAGAAGACAACTCGGAGAGCGACATCTGCTATTTGGAGAATATTTGCGGAGCTGGACAAACCTAACGTACACTATCGAAGATGAACTAAACATCGATGGATCGATAGAGGTAAGCATGTTTTAGCTATGTTTTTAAACTAGGAATTATTTTGAATGAATAATAAAACAGTTATTGAATTCGGCTTTCGTATCATATGAAGAATTATGCAGATCTCGGAGGGTGTTATCCGCTTCGGCGTACGGCCTCGACGGATAACACCCACCTCAATCTCCATAATTCTTCATAAGATACTCCGCCTCATTCATTAACTGTTAATTATCTTATTTTTGTTTGTGTCCTCTAGAACTTATTTTTATGATTAATTCTGATCTATTGAAAGTGGCCTATTGTAGTGCTGTCCTTGTAGTACCGTCTGCCTTGGCCTTCTCGGTCTCAATGCTTTTCTGTGACGTTTCGGACCACAGGACCCAAAACGCGTAAGCCGTTTTGAATAATGAGAGGAAATTTTAAGAATATCAACATAGGTTGCATAGGTTCTTATTTCGTTATACGATTTTTTCTTTTTCATTCAGTTTTATTTTATCTTAATGTACTAAGATGGTCTTCTAAATTGAGTATACATTGTGGTCTCCCCAAGTATTGGCCATGTTGGCGCTACATACCAATCAGGCGCAAATTAAGAATGTGGAAACGAGTTACCTCGGAGCATGGTACATGATTCTTATAAAAATAAAACAGGGTGAGACTTAAGGCATGCGAAATTTTAACTTTTTAATTTAGACACAATTTTGCGTCTTTAAGATAATTTGTCATTCGCCGTGGTTTTCTTCACATTCCCTCTTAAATGCTGATTGTGATCATCGGCTGAAAAAGCTAGGGTAAACCATCACACTGAAATCAGAATTATATTCCTCGACATTTGAAATTATTACTAACATCAAAGAGACAGTGAGTATTGAGGCACACATGCGTAAGGAAATGCAAAAGTTGCAGCCAAAATATTTCCTCCTGAAGTTAAATGTTGAACGAAAGGTCAAGTTAAGCGTCATATTTTGTTTTCCAACAATGTCGATCACGGCAGTATGCTTATTATTTTCTTAATCATAATTGTTTTCTTTTCTTTTCTTTTGACTTCTTTTTTTTTTGGCCACTCATGTCTGTCTAACATTTAAGATTACAAATGATATGTAGTGGCAAGAAGGCCTCAGCAAGCTCGTTAGAGCTTTTCTAAGGAGATCTCCCATTTCTTACATTCTTTCCTTACAGGTATAGCGTGGTAAACCTAATGTAAGAACTTCAATGGGTTTGGCACGCGTCAATCCTAGTGTCTTAGTAAAAAATGTTTCCTTGCTGCCTTCCTAAACTCTTGCATTCTTACGGCATATATAAGCGGATTGACTATAGAATTGAAAAGATAGAGTAAATTAAACGAGTAATGGATGTGGGAAAGTACTGCAGGGCATAATTTATTTCCCGCTATGTGATGGCCGATAACATTCCAAATAACCCAAGGAAGAATGGTCAGAATAGAAGCCACATTAACTATAAATAAAGTCACCGTTAGTTTCCTCTCTGTTGAAAGAACTGGTTGAGCATTAGGGGACGGAGGATTGTTTTTTACAGTTGAGATGATTATAGCATATGAAACTGTGAGAATGAAAATGATGAGAAAACAGTAAGATGTATAGACATACAGAAGAGCCGGCGATTCGTGCAAATAAAGAAGGGCAAGGACAGATGACAAAATCAAGGAGAACAACCAACTACACAAAATAATGGCGAGGTAAACCCGTGTGCCAACAAGACAATGCCTAAAGGGGAAAACTGTTGCGTGTAACCTCTCTAAAGAAATCAATGAAATATTTGCTAATGAAGCAACTACGAAACTCCCTTGTAATGTGAGATGCACGAATGATTGCCAATTAAAATCCTGTACGGATTCAATTGTCAAGTTCCCGCTCTCCAAGTCTGCTTTGAATACTGGCAGTGAAGCTCCGGTCACGGTTCCTATCAGTAAATCGGCCACAGTCAGGTTTATAATCAGATACGTACTGGTCTTGCGTAAGTGGCGGTTTCTTGTGTAGATGTCGAGAGTGAAAGCATTCAATAAAAGGACGACAATAAACGCGATGACAAAAGCTGCAAACCAGGCTCTTCCTTCTTTTTCAGAAAAAATTAAACCAGTTTCATTCCAAACGCTCCCACATTCTTTCATTCTCACTTAGTATTACGCTGGTATCCTTCTAGTCCACAGGAAATTTTCCTTAATATAATGCAAACAAAGCAGCATGTTAATGTGAGGAGCAGTCACGTAGAGAAAAAATAGGAGAAAGAGAGAACAATAAAATGATTCGGAAACAATAAAATGATTCCGTCTCAGTTTTCCCATAAACCGCGTTGACAAGTGTTCTACCGAGCACTCCAAATAATGCAGGGGCGGATCTAGGGAGAGGGTGCAGGGGGTGCGCAGCCCCCCCCGCCCTGAGATGACCTGCGGTTTTCTAATACAACTGGTATTCTGCAAAAAAAAAAAAAAAAAAAAAGTATGTGGTTTCTTGGTGTTGAAGTAGAGCAAGAGACGGGTGTACCCCCTCCTAAAAAAATCCTGGATCCGCTCCTGTAATGTTCACATGAATAAAAAAGTTAATCTTGCATTGATGTATCGCAAAATGGGAATGAGGCTTTTACTCTTATTTACTCTTATTTAGTCACGTGATTACCAACTTTTTTCCGATGGGTACTTTACCACATTTTCTTACCGAATGGTACTCCGCTGCGCGCGCTTCGCGCGCGAGAGCTACGCTAATAATGGAAAAAAAAAACGTCACCTGTAACTTGAGCGGAAAAATTATCTTCTTTTTACCTCGTTAGAATAATTAATTGAGGGAGCCTATTCCTTATAAGGTCAGTGGCCTAGCTTGGGCTTACTCGACATTAAGTTTCTTTAAAAATATTCAACAGCTTATTTATTGCTTTGTAAATATTATGGAAAACAATAAACAATAAATTAAGCGTTTCGTTTTCCTTATCTTCGTTTTAGACGATAGAAAGCTAAAATTTGTCTATTGATCACTGCTTTCAATTATAATGATTTTGAATGCCGGCTTTTAATTCCGGTTTGACCCGTGGCACGGATATTAGCGACCTGTGAGAGGGCTTACTTTTGCGAGTTCGGGATCACTTTTACTGGAAATTTAAAAGCAACTGAGGAATGTCTCGGGGCGTGAAAATTAAGCGGGAGTTAATGTCGCGCATTACCGTTTTGCTTTTCGCGATATCAAATTTTTGCAAACTCGTGGATTTCGCAATGCTAAAAAACAACTTTTGTGGATAAGACACGTACCTTTGCAATATTTTAGGAACAGTTCTTAAGGAACATGGCAACTTGTAAGGGATTTTATTTTAGTTCATATTTTCGGGCCGTTTGTCATAAATCGTCCAAGTAGAGTGCAAAGCTATGGCGGCGCTATTCCCTTTGCCATTCGTTCATGCGTTCAACCAAAACCGCGGTGATGAAACTCTTCATGTCAGAAACGTTTCAAGGCTTGCAAACTTCTAGGTTACTTAAATAAGAATCTTTAGATAAGACTACGCTCACGATACTACAAGTACAGGCATGACTTTCAAACGCAGCTGGTGTGCTTTTGATATTCACTTTTCAGGTAGCACACCGCCTATACCTTACCTCCTATCCTTTTTAGCTTCTGTACTTTAATTAAATAGCTTTTTGTGGTAATCAACGACAGGAAACCGAGTTAGTTCTGGAAATATAACAAGACTGAAATTTAAAATCAGCTCGTACTCGTAGTTAGAGAGAAAAAGGATCGCCATTATCATATCTACGCATGAGGCTTCTAAAATAGCAGAGTTGGGTCGTCACGTGGTGGGAAAGTGAAATTTCGCAGCTTTATTTTGTTTTGTTTTTTCGGCTTCATGTCATGGATCTTTAGAAAATCCTCGTAATCCGCCAAAAAATCATATACCACAAAAATGTTGCTCCACATGATGATATATATCTCTGACTATCATAAGAACAACAACCAAAAAAAAAAAAAGTAAAGAACTCATCGCACTTAAGTAGTTATATAAATTTTTTTCCCTTCCACTAACTTACTACCATGCGACCAGAGGTTTCTCTCTTGCATGGCTTTTAGCGTTTACGAAGTCGCTCGCGTGGTTTGTCTGTTGCGTAGTTGGTTTGTTCACTCCTCGTCACGCGAACGACTCCGCAAACGCTAAAAGCCATGTAAGAGAGAAACTTCTGCTCGCAGGGTACTAAATTAACGATTATATCCATGTTCCTTTCTTTTAATACACTGCTTTGTTGTCAGATTTCAACTTTTTGCATTTATTCCGCAGTAAATTAGCCCAACTTTAGAGAGTTAAACTGAACAGGTGAATTTTATGCAACCGTCATTTGGTTTCAATTTGTTGAAAACAAAGTTTTATTAAATCATCCTTCATTGAACTGATGTCCGTTCAGTTTCAGCTCTCTGCACTCTGTATTATTAGTAATAATTTTCAATATAACTTCTATTTGTTAAGAAATCTCGTCCTCCTTACGCGTTCACGCTAAAAGCAAAAAGAGGTTCGCTCGTTAATTTGGCAAACGTCGCAACAGTGTTATTGCTGTCTTGACATTCTGTCCATTATCATTTTTGAGGAAGCATGCTCCAAAGTTAAGATGTTATCACAGAGGCCAAATTAATGAAAGGAATATATCCCGGTTTCTCTGCTATGTTGCAGATAGGAAAGTATGGAACCACAGTGAAAGTAACACAGGCATAGAACCCATCATAATTTATAAAAATTAAGACTGAGTCGAAACCAAATGAAAAAAATACATAAAAATGACAAGAAAATTGGTTGTAAATGAATAAATTATGCACCGTCCCTGCTTTTCGTCATTTAAAACCCCTATGTATGTAGACTGGAGGGCGAGCATTAAGAAAATTTGAAAATTATTGGTCTAATACTGATACCCACCAAAACGTCTCTGAAATCAACATCACAGTTGAGCGAATTGTGGCGGCATGATTTCTGTAACGGAGCGAAACTACGGCCCGCCGATCTCGAAAGTGCAGCGTCCTATATCGGATAGGTTAACGTTTTGTGTTGGTTCAGAGTGATCACTTATTCGGCCCGTCCGGTGTAGAAGGTTTTTTTTAGTAGAGAGGGTCCAATGAGAGTCTATTATTTGGCGAGCGGAGGGAGCGGAAGGGGGGTTGGTTCAGCGGAAAATATAGGTTTGATTTGGGGCCACCCATAAAATGTTTTTCCAAACTGAAAAATCCTCATAGCCCTTATCCACAATGAACGGTCTCTAACAGATAGGAGAACGTATTCTTTAGAATGATCTAAAACTACCGTAAGTAAGCAGTGGTTGTCATAGATACCTTTGACATAAACTGTCTAAACAGCCTTCAATTCCATACTGCAGTTAACAGGTGCTTTTCAAATAATCCTCTTAAATGATTCCGCTCGCTGAAAAACTGATAAAACGTTTTTAAAACGTTCAATGCAGCTTAGAAATATTTAACTCTAAGGCTGACTAATCGTATTATCGAATAGCGTGGACATGGAAAAAAGTTCAACATAAAAGTGCATTCGAATATGTCGCTTTATGGAGAAAAAATTTAGCATTAATCCTCATGGTAACTGACCTCGAACGGAAATACTCTTCTAATTATAAGTTATTAACCTGAACGAATAACACGTTTTAGAGAATGATAAA